TTTTGATAATACCATTAGCAGTTGTAATAAGCAGTATAAAATAAATTATTTTGAGCCTGCTAAAGAGGCAGTTTCCAGGGGATGGTTAGAAAAACGGAAACAATGGTGGAGGGAAGATCACAATGGTGGTGGAATTGGTGTTAGAATATTGAATGTATGTAACAAATGTATCATGAACAACTTTGTAAACCACAGTGTTTAAATAAAGTGGGAGGGGGTGGAGGGAGGAAGAAGAAAAAAGAAAACCCATATGTTACCCAAAGTTTAAGGGGCATCACCTGCCATGCATTTCTGAGAACCGATCCTTTTATCTTTTGAGGGACTCTTTCAGCAGTGCTTGTGACAGAGGCCACCCCTAGCAATACTCAGTCTGGTGGTGTAGGCCTGACATATCAGGGCTTGGACTAGTAGTATTGAGGGGACTTCCAGGGCCACACCCTCTGGTATTGGTCTGAGAACATGCAGGGATGGAGATTGAACTCAGGGTCTCTGTGTGCATGTCTCTATGACAAGTTTATCTCTGTCACTGTCCTTGACCCAAGGCACTGGCCTCCTTTGTCCAATGTTCTAGATCCTTTTCATTGAACAAACATGCTCTGCCAAGACATCATTGGCACAACCCTATGCTCCAGGAGTTATGCTAATATCAGTGTCTCCCTAACACAAGATCCTTTCATCATAACTCAACATATACTGACATCAAAAATAAATGACTTGGGAAAAGGCCAGGGAGATGCCTTAAAAGGCTAGATGACATGCTTTGCAAGTAGGAGGTCCCACTTAATCCCTGGCACCACATGATGTCCCAAGTGCTGGAAACAACTCCTAAGCACTGCCGGGTGATGGCCCAAAACACACAAAACAAACAAAGAAATGAGGGAAAAATTTGTTTATGTTTAAAAATTAACCATCATTTGGAGTAGTAAAAACAACTCGGTCACAATTGTAATCCATAGACAAATAGAGATAAAAAAAAAGAGACTTTAGATCTCAGTGTGAAAGAAAATCCACAACTTGACAAAAGAAAAAAATATCTTTCTAATTTAGGGAAGAAGAATGTCTTTAAATGAAACGCCATGGCCAAAACCACAAAAATTTTCAACTACCTATTGCTATATATAATATATAATAATATAGTATATATAAAATAACATATATATTATGTATATAGTATCCCCCCTTTGGGGAAAGAATACCAGTTGGTAGTTAACTGACTGTGCTAAAGTCAGTTTCTTTGACTAAGAAAAGCCACAGGGCTGATATCATGGAAAACATATTATTTCTGCAAATCAACAAGGAAAAATCAGTCCAATCAGAAAAATGGGCAGAGTGTATGACAAAGATCTCTTTCCAGCATGGGTAGCATATGTATATGAAAAGATGCTCAAGCATCACTTAAAAGATAAATGCAGAAAAATATGGCAAAGATAACTCTTCACAACGTTTAGATTGGCAAAGAATCAGACATTTGGAAAATGTCAAGTGTGGGGAATTCCCAGCAAGAAGCTTCTTATCTTGTTGGTGGGAGCACAAAGTAGAATAAACGATTCTGAAGGGTTATCTGGCAGTCCTTCATATAATTAGGAATGAATGTCTCTTTTGATGAAGACCTGCCCCCTTTACGTCAGAAAAATTCTCGCAGGTACCTAGGTGGGATCAGGATGAGGGTGTTTATCACAGTGATGTTTAGTGTGGTGGAAAAGACAGTCTTTATGTCTATTGCTCGGGAATAAACTCAAATGTAGTGGACACTAAACACAAACTGGTGGATAATCCACACCAATTAATAGACTACATCCAGAGTCCTGGATAGTACCTAAGAACATGGGAAAATATTAGAAATTATTAACTCTATGGTACATCTATAGAATGTGTTGTCATACGTGCCCATGAAAATACACACAGAAACTTTTTTCATACACTTCACTTGCAAAGTTAAATGCATCAAGGGAAGTTGCGTTTGGGTTTTGGAATAGGCATGAGAAATGAAGATCAAAGAGAAAGAATAAATAAAAGAAGAAAGGGGCCTTGGAGGTCTGGATTATAAACCAGGAGCTCATAGGTTATGATTAACTCAACCCTCTGAAGATGAGGTTAAATAAAAAAGGATTGATAAACTGCAGTAGTTGGGAAATCTTCAACTTTCTGATCACTGAAGGTCAGCTTTGAGCTTGCCAAGTACACAAATGCACTTCTTGCAACATGGTACCCCGTTCTTTGTGATCATTCACAGCATCTCCGAAGATTGCAGACTGCATGCTTGGATGCATCTAGATATCCAAGTTCTTAGAGCAGTTCTTAGTAGCAACAACACATCAACTGAAAAACATCAAAAAATGCCTGCTCACAAACAAACTCATCTTAAATGAATTTGTATCTTAATGTCAAGATAAGTTACTTTCCCCAGTTTTTCTTTCATAATCATGTTGACAGGGGAGGAGGGAGGAGGGAGAAACATTTGGCTGTGTTTGGGACTTACTCCTGGCTCTAAGCTCAGGGATAGCTCCTGACAGTACTCAGGGGGTTGTATGGGGTGTACCCTGCCAACCGTACTATCACTCCTGTCCTATGATCATGTTTTTAAAGAAGTTATTTGTGTTTTACTCTGAGCAGCAGAAAATTAAGTGTGTTTTTTGTTCAATTTAGTTTTGGAACTTATGGAAGATAGAATTAGAGTTTTATTTTTAGCAATTGTGAAGAGAAAAGATAAGTGCAATTCTTGTCAACAAACAAACAACTCCCCATGCTTCCTACCCACTGTTAAAACCAATACTGTCTATCTGTATGACTAGGAAGGAAGGAGCAAATATTTTGGAATTAACAAAATCAAAGTTTGACTTTGAAATACTTATTAAGGTCTTTGGACTTCAGTTTGCCCATATGTAAGTGGGTGTGATTCACATATCTATGACATATAATTCACAAACTTTGTGAGTATATGGTTGGAATCTCATGGGTAGTGAACTCAGTTGTATCTATGCATATATAGTGTTCATTGAACAAATAGTTGATCATTTACTTTTATATATTGAATGCCTATTATAATTTGAGGGACTTTTTTGGTAGTGGGGGCCATATCTGGTGATGCTCAGGAATTACTCCTGCTTCGTATCCAGGAATTGCTCCTGGCGGTGCTCAGGGGACCATATAGATTGAACCCAGGTCAACCATATGCAAAGCAAATACCCTAACCACTGTACTATTGCTCTGCTCCCACATGCTTATTTATTATATTTTGGCTCTGCCCCATTTGTGTCCTTCTTAATATAAAAGCAGCATGAATGGAAGAAATGGAATTTGTCAGGGTATCCTGGAGATGAGAAAACTTTGTTTGTCACACAGAAAACTGAGAGGTCAGATAAAGAACATACATTCTCCTGAGGGTGGAAGTTAAGGTCTTGCCTTCCACTGCTATGTTTAAAGCCAGAGTTTCCAGCTCACTGTGAGACATTTGATAAAAAGGACTTTTTTAAAAAAATCAAAATTATACTTTATTGTGTCTACATTCTGGGTAGCAGGTAGGACTGGAAACTAGAGAGGCACATGGTACAAAGAACTTAGAAGTACCATTTTTAAAGACAAATTAACTCTTGCTCAAAACTATACAAGTAATCAGTGGAGGAACCACTAGTTAATACATTTGTTAATGCATTGGAATGAAGTTAATACATTTGTTTTGAATCCACAATCTGAGTTCCTTTGTGTCAGATGCTTGGTCATTTTTTCAAGGACTTGAGGGTGGATTTCTAGCATTCCTGATGATCAGCTTGTTTTCTCACAGTCTCATTGCTCTCTCCTGGCTAAATATTAGGCAGCTACTCAAGACTTTGATGCCCCTGAATTTCATATCTTTTTTCAACCTCTGACTTTCTTTTGTTTAATACCTTACACCCCTAAGAGAAATTCATTATAATGAATGAATGAAATCTTTCAGCTGTCTCCAGAAATCTCTCAGCTATAAACACAAGTTCACTCCCAGAACCCTCTATTATATCTTGTTCACAAAACTTCTTTCTGCTTAAATGATTTCTTAGTTTATTTTCTGATTTTCTCTTAGAATGGTTGCCTGGCCAAAGGTGGTCTACTGCTACACTTCCAATGCCTAGAATACCACCAGGCCTTCAGCAAAAGGCCTCAATTGTGTTGTGCACCTACTTGTTGTACCTACTTTAAAACAATATCTCCCACTAAATGAGGGTTCAATGCTACTCATAGACAACATGCTTAATGAATTAATTAATTCTTCTGTTTATTTATTTCACTTTGAGAATAGTCCTATGCTTTAAATGTTGGAGCGATGTGGTTCTACTTTTTCCCTTCTGGGTCTGGGGCAAAATGAACAGCCCAAGGACACATGGCTGAATTTCAACCCAGGGGTTGCTCTTGCTTCTGCTCCTTACAAGCTTGCTCAGCATTCACAGTGTAGTTTTCTGCAAATCACAGAAAGGCATTTTGCTGAGTAGTTAATAGAAAGAACCAAACCAAAGCTAAGGTTAAGACCGAGCAGTGCTGAATCAAGGAGAGGGCTCTAAGGGCTAGTGCCCATGCTTTGCAGGTAGGAGTCCCAAGTTGGATACCCTACACCCCACGGTCCTCCAAGCATTGTACAGAGCCCTTGAGCACCACGAGATGGGAACGAAGCCCAAACCAAAGCAAAACAAATACCTGATTTTGCTTGGAGCAGGGAATGAGAGGAGACAGGGAGAGAGAAAGAGTAACTGGAACTTATATCATCAGCCCCTCTCGGATTTACTCCTGAGCAGAAAACCTGCTCCCATGCTTCTGGGAGTTGAGACGTGCCAGACTGGGTGAGTGCCAGCAGCAGGTGTCCCTGTGCGCTTTGCTGCTCCCTCCAAGCAGGGCAGGCAGCCAAGTCCGGCCTCCCTGCATCCAGGCACCCTCCGCCCTCTGCCCCATGACGTACAGCCCGCTGCGTCAGGACAACACCCACTGGGGTGTGACTGTGGCTTGGACCCCCAGCAGCAGGCACCCTTGGAACCTCTCCTCTCCTCCCTAACGTCAGGTTAAAAACCCCAGGAAGCACTGGCCCTCTGCAAACGCTCCCGTTCCCTCCAGAGCTAGAGACATCCCCAGTTGGAGCCAGCATGTCAGCTGTGGTTCTGGAGACGCGGGGCTTGGGCAGGAAGCTCTCCAACTTTGGACAGGTGAGCCAGGTTGGTCTTCCCTCCACAGAGAGGGGAGTCTGGCCTCTGATGGAAAGATAACTTGAGCAAACCTGGTGTTCTCTACTTTCAGAAACTCATGAAGAGATCTGGGTTCCTCTCAAGAGGATGCATATGTGCAGAAAGCTAACAGATAACATACATCCTCAACAATTGTTTCTGAGTAGGAAGACTTGTCCTGTGAAACTTGTAGGCAGAAATAATATTCTTTATACTCTTTAGCAGTTGGGGGGTCTGGTTTTGCATTGGTAGGATCTAACTATGTGTCTTTAGGGAAAAAACTCAGTGTTCCTTTCCATGGCAGTCTTTTCTTTTGGGTGTCCTTAACAATGCAGAGTGATAGGAACTTTCTAGATCTCTGTTCTCCATTGATGGTTATGAAGTGCCCTCTACAAGGTATTGAAATGGGAAAATTGTGAGAAATTGCACTTGTTTATCACCTGTGGGGAAAAAAACGAGCATGAAGAGATGTGAGACTTTCTCAGACCGATGGATGGAAGGAGGAGCCTGGGTCTTAGGATGAGAAAGAACCAAAAATAAGACCTAAGGATAATTCCTGGGATGTTTTCCATTTTCCAGAGACCGTCATCCTCTGGAGATGACGAACTGCAAATAAATTCTTTGACTTATCACACTCTTGATCTCAAGAGCTTAGACTTCCTACCTAGCTCAGCAGATAGCATGGAGGTAGCTGGGGAAAAATCAGAGAGTAGGGTGGCTGCAGAGAAGAGGGTAGGTGATGTTTCAGTGGAACTGAATGACTAAAATGTAGATGGGCTAGTACTGAGAGGAAGAGTTCATATGTAAATAGTGTGCTTGGGAGATAGGACAATATCATGTTAAAGAGGGGCAGCAGGTTTGCCAAGGTTTAGTTTTGGTATTACTGGCAGTGAGAACCCCATAAGTAGGTGAGGAGGTTAGGGAAAGTGATCTGTTTAGGAGCTGTGTGACCAGAAAGTTTTGCTAGTAGAGCACTTCGAGACAGAATCACAAAATTTCATTTTTGATATAGGAGTGTGTTTGTGCAGATTTGCTCATAGGAAATAGAAATAAAAATATCCACTACCTAGAGTTGGCCTAAAATGAAATGAAACAATGTTTACAATGTCTTTATAGACACTATCATAGTTCTTGGAGCATTGTAAGGTGATAACGGTGTCTTTATGGAACAACTGTGTTTTGTAAAGTGGGTCTAGGACACTGAACACAAGGAGGGAAGAAATCTGAGTTAGGTTTAGTGATGGGGAACAGCTTGTCACAGAAACATGCTGGTATAGAGTCAGGGTACCCATTTCTTCATCTTTGGTTTACTTAAACTAGGTATTAGGAAAGTCTACAAATTGGGTTGAGGAAACTTGGTTTGGTGCCTGTAAAATAGTATGTATGTGTGTGGGGTGGTGGTGGTGGAGAAGATGGTGGATAAAAGGGGGAGGTAAGCTGAAATATAATAGTCTTTAGGATTTCTACTGTCTATGATAGTTTTTCAAAAGAAGACACAGTTTGTGTCTTCTTGACATGCCCAACCCAGATGAACAATATATGTTAGATGTAATTCTGAGATAAGCAGGTGGTATAATGATATGTCAATAAATTTATACCTACAATAAGAACAAAAGTCTTGGGGCTCAACTGATAGTATAGCAGGTAGAGTTCTTGCCTTGCATATGACTGACTCAGGTTCAATCCCTTGCATCCATATGGTCCCTTAAGCACCAGAAGGAGTAATACCTTTTAAATATTTTATTAAAAAATTTGACTGACTGTGAGATAGACCCTTATAAAGCTGTTCATAATTAAGTTTCAGTCACGCACTGTTCCAACACCTATCTCTCCACCAGTGTACATTTCCCAATACCAGTGTCCTCAATTTCTCTCCCCATAACCACCACATCACCACTCCTGGCTCTATGGCAGGCACTTTTCTTCTTCTTCTTCTTCTTCTTCTTCTTCTTCTTCTTCTTCTTCTTCTTCTTCTTCTCCTTCTCCTTCTCCTTCTCCTTCTCCTTCTCCTTCTCCTTCTCCTTCTCCTTCTCCTTCTTCTTCTCCTTCTTCTCCTTCTTCTCCTTCTCCTCCTTCTCCTCCTTCTCCTCCTTCTCCTCCTTCTCCTCCTTCTCCTCCTCCTTCTCCTCCTTCTCCTCCTTCTCCTCCTTCTCCTCCTTCTCCTCCTCTTCTCCTCCTTCTCCTCCTTCTTCTCCTCCTTCTTCTCCTCCTTCTTCTCCTTCTCCTTCTCCTTCTCCTTCTTCTCCTCCTCCTCCTCCTTCTTCTTCTTCTTCTCCTTCTTCTTCTTCTTCTTCTTCTTCTTCTTCTTCTTCTTCTTCTTCTTCTTCTTCTTCTTCTTCTCCTTCTCCTTCTCCTTCTCCTTCTCCTTCTCCTTCTCCTTCTTCTTCTTCTTCTTCTTCTTCTTCTTCTTCTTCTTCTTCTTCGTCTTCGTCTTCTTCTTCTTCTTCTTCTTCTTCTTCTTCTTCTTCTTCTTCTTCTTCTTCTTCTTCTTCTTCTTCGTCTTCTTCTTCTTCTTCTTCTTCTTCTTCTTCTTCTTCTTCTTCTTCTTCTTCTTCTTCTTCGTCTTCTTCTTCTTCTTCTTCTTCCCCACTCTTTCTCTCTCCTTTAGGGTATTACAGTTATGGTTTTCAATACAGATACTGAAATTGAATCACTGTGAGATATGTAGTTTGAAATGATCACTCTGAACAAGAATTGAGTGCTGAAAGTAGGTAAAGAAACAAACATGAAACAAACCTTTCAGCACCTGTATTGCAAACTATAATGCCCTAAAGGAGTAATGTTTTAGTGCAAGAAGTACTGCTTGAGCATCACCAAGTATGATGCCCCAAAACCCAAAATACAAAAGTAAGAAAAAAGAACAAGTCTTGCAGAAAGGTATTTGTCTCATTCATTAATCTGGCAAATATATGGAGAACCAGCTATGCCAGACACAGCAGCATTTTTTCCCAGGTAAAAGTTAAATTCAAATGAAGGACACATGATAAAAATAATAACCAAATGGACAATTTATGTAGAGATAAGTGCCATAAAGGAAAATAGAACAGGATAATGGGATACAAGATGTGGCAGCTCAGAAATCACAGCTGTGAATTTGCTTGGGCACAACAGTATTCAAACCCATGCACGGCTCCAGGACTCTGCACACTTTATAAAACAATGATTTTTCTTGTAGGTAAATGTTGGAATATAGAGGTATAATGCTTTGATTTCTGCATTTTGTTTTCAGTTGTGCCACTCTGGAGATATGTGTGATCACATTTGCCTCCTGTCATGAACTCTGAAAGTACCAAGTTATTGCTTAGAAATATTGCATTGGAAACTGTTCTCTCCAAAGAGAATTAATATATTTGTTAGATCACAACCAAGGATATTTATATTACTAAATGATAAAAGTTTTTTCTTGGGGCTGGCAATAGCACAGCAGATAGGGCTTTTGCCTTGCATATGGCCGACCTGAGTTCAATTCCCATCATCCTATATGGTCCCCTGAGCACTGCCAGGAGTAGTTCCTGAGTGCGTGAGCCAGGAGTAACTCCTGTGTATCTCTGGGTGTGACCCAAAAATCAAAAAACATTTTTTTCTTCTAGGTTGCATATTAAGTTCTTTCTTCTTTCCTATTTCTTCTTTTCTTCTAAACTTATATTCTTCTATTCTTCTAAACTTATATCATCCTCTGTATACATGTGTTTCTAAGGCAGCTAACATGTCTACTGGAAATATGAAAGTTAATAAATCAAGTCGATGAAAACTTGTTCTGGAAGATATTTTCCTGAGGACCCATGTTGAACCAAACATAGCAGTGATGGGATCAGAAACTACCCAAGGTTCCAAACTACCCAAGGTTCACCAACATCCATTAGATTTCTTGCATTTATAGTTCTGAAGACTGTGAAAAGGACAGTTATGGTTCTAGTTCTGAGGTTGTCACTGGGATGCATAATAAAGACTTTTTGATTATTTGATAGGGGTTCAAGTCTAAGTTCTGTCACGTATCAGCAGAATGCCTACTTAATCTTGCTGACAAACTACTTAATCTTGCTGAATTTATTCCATCATTTGCAAATTTATAGCACCACGTATAAGAGACTTAATAAGACATTACGTGTACATGAATGGGATGGTTTTAGTTACCACCAGTGATTATATTAAGTAACTATAGTAAGTACCATGTGTAGCTCCTGTAACATGATGGTTACTCAGCCAGTAGAAGACTGTATCATAAAAAATAAATTTTCAGAAGATGAGTATAAAGTCATAATTAAACATATATAATGTATATTTATCAATTTATCAATATTAAGAATCCTCTCTTAGGACTCATTTAGTATGCTTTGAAATTTTTTTCTTTTAGTTAAAGAGGAGTACGTTAGGAGTACTGCTATTTGTTCAGCCATTGATTAAGCTGATTGAATTGTGCATGAACTCCACATTACTGTTTTTTATTTTATTGTATCACCGAGAGATATAGTTACAAAGCTTTCATATTTGAGATTCAGTCAAAATGATGGAACACCTATCCCTCACCAGTGCACATTTTCCACTACGATGTCCCAAGTATTCTCCCCCCTCCTCACACACACATCCCAGTCCTCACCCTGCCTCTATGGAAGACAATTTCCAGAATACTCTCTCTCTCTCTCTCTCTCTAATTTTGGGCATTATATTTTGCTCAAAATTTCCCACCACCATTCCAGCCTACCTGGCAAGGGCAGAAGCTAAATAATTTATTTTTGACTGCTCATTTTGAATATCATGAGAGCTCATGCGGCCACAATTATAAATGTAAATTTCTAGATTGTTAATTGTTGAGTTCCAGAAACACCTCTGTATGGCACTAATTTATTTTGGGATTCAGTTGGGAGTCTCTGGGCCAGGGCTGTTGATGTTTTAAGATGGCACCTGGAGGCAAATTGTGGGCATTACAGCCAGTCTTCTGGACAGGTGGGGACCCGGGGAGGAGAAATCCAGGTCCTCTGCCA